GTGCTGGAGGAGATGGCTGTCTCGGTGCGCACGCAGCGCCAGTACGTCATGGAGCTGCAGGGGTTCGTGGACTTTGCCTACCTGCGGCAGCTGCGCACCACCACGCCCGCGCTCACCGACGCCGCCCTGGTAGAGAACATGAACCACATGTTCTTCCGGGGCGAGCAGGCGTTCAGGGGCGAGAAGCTCCTCGCCGCGGTGATGGCCCGCTCACCCGAGTTCTCGAGAGTTGGTATCAGCAAGATGCCAAGAGCCTGGCGTTGCCTGAAGGGATGGAGGCGCCTGACTCCAGGGCGCTCCCGCAAGCCCGCTCCCCTGCCGGTCTGGTGTGCCATCGCGGTGGAGTTCGCAAGGCGTGGCATGCTGGCCATGGGGCTCGCCGTGATGATCGGAATCAGCTGTTACCTCAGGCCCTCGGAGCTCCTCAACCTCACCTCGGACAACCTGGTGGCTCCAGCCTCGCCTGTGTCGCAGTACTGGAGCCTCCTTTTGCATCCTTCGGAGGGGGAGAAAATGAGCAAGACGGGGGATGCGGACGACTCGCTGATCATCGACTCAGCCTACATGCTGCCGTGGGTGCACGACTTCCTCCAGGCCTTGAAGGACAAGGGCGGCCGGCTGTGGTCCTTCGACTATCTTACCTTCTTGGCGGGGTTCAAGACTGTGGGCAAGATGCTGGGCATGCCGCACCTTGTACCCTACCAGATGAGACACTCAGGGCCGTCGATAGATCGCCTCAAGCCGGACCGCAGCCAGGAGGAGTGTCAGAAGCGCGGAAGGTGGAAGAGCTGGAAAAGCCTCGTTCGCTACGAGAAGAGCGCCCGCCTCGGAAGCTTCTGGAACGAGCTTCCTGCCGACGTACAGGCGCACATGCGCCTGTGCGAGGACCAGCTCGTCGAGTTCCTCTGGTCGCCCGAGCGTGCCCCAAAGCCACCGCCCGTCCGCGGCTAGCCAGGGATGGCACCTACATGGCCGACCTGTTCTCCGGCTCGGGCAAGGTTGCTCGAGCGGTGATGCAACTGGGGTTCTCCGCCAAGGCCTGGGACATCATCCACGGCCCCAACCATGACATCACCGACCCGGGTGTGCTTAGGCTGCCGCTCTCGGACATCCGTGGCGGCAAAATCTTCGCCGCCATGATTGCCCTCCCGTGCGCCTCGCTGACTATCGCTCGAGATAGGACCTTTCAGATACGTTCACGCACTCAACCGTGGGGGACCGACCTTACTGATGCTACCGATCGTGACCGAGCCTCACTCGAGACTGGTAACAAGATACTTCGGGCTGTACTTCGCATTCTTAGACATCTCAATCGTTATAAGATTCCTTGGATACTTGAAAATCCGTCAACGTCCCGCCTGTGGTTCATTCCAGAGATACTTGCTCTGTGCAATCAGGCACGCGCTGACTGGTGACTTACAGATTTCTGTCAATGGGGGACGCCGTGGCGAAAAAGGACATGGCTGGTTTGCGGCAACATGGGCCCTGAAGACACTTGCCCCCTGGACAGAGTGTGCAATGGAAAAGCTGGTATGTGCTCTCGCACTCTCCGCCGTCATATCGAGCTGAGTGGGCGCAATGACCAGAATGTGTTGTGGACCTCTATTGCCCAGCCTTACCCCTCTCGCCTGGCCACTGCTCTAGGTAAGTCTCTCGCTGCTAAAAAGCACGCCTCCTGCTCGTGCAACTCGGGCGGCCCCGTACGCACTGGGGCCCAATAAGGCTCTTGCCTTGCGTGCTTTTGCTTTTCCCCTCCTCTCTTCCCCTCCTTCGCCCATGTGAACCCTTTTCAATTCGGGATGTTTGGAATGCTCTGGACGTGTGATTCTAACGATCTCACGTCGTCCCAGCTGTGTGTTGTAACCCTGTCAGATAGTAGCAGATCTTCTCCGCTGGAAAAACACGGTCTCATTATGTTAGTGCGTGCACGGGAATGATGAGAAAGGTTTTTTTTCGGGTGTCGTGTCCAGGCTTGGCCCCCCGCGTTGCTCATCGCAACCGCTCGGGCTCAAGCGTCAAAAGGCACCCGCCCTTTCGAACAATGTTTTCCCATCCCTTACTTCAATGCTTTGCAGAATGCTCTGGACGTGTGATTCTGACGATCTCACGTCGTCCCAGCTGTGTGTTGTAACCCTGTCAGATAGTAGCAGATCTTCTCCGCTGGAAAAAACACGGTCTCATTATGATTTGTTACACAAGATTCCCGGGAGTTGGGTTTTCGCATGGTTGTTTGTTTCAAAATGTTGTTCCCGCTGAAACGTTTGCCTTGTTTTCGGGCTTCCTTTCGTTCCGAATCGTGCTCCCGCTGCAGAGTTGGCCCGATTTCCGCGCTTCCGCTCGTTCCGAATTCTACTCCCGCTGTAGCTTTGGCCTCATTTCCGCACTTCCACTCGTTCCGAATCGTGCTGCCGCGCTGGCGTCAGCACTTCCAGTGCCATGCCACGGCATGCAATGCAATGCTATGTGGTGTTCCGCTTTGCGTTGCCATGCCTTCAGCTGCAATGTTAGGATATGCAGTGCTTGGCTGCGCAGTGCCACGCCATGCTATGCCATGCTACGCTTGAGTCTCCAACGCCATGCCATGCCATGTTCTGTTCTCTGCCGCTGTGCGATGCCATTCTTCGCTTTGGAATGCTTTGTGATGCAATTCTTCACTACGCAACGCCACGCCATGCTATGTCATACTACGTTTTGCCGTGCTGTGCTGCACCCTGCTATGCCGACCGTGCGCAGCTAGACAATTGGCAGAACAATATCTAACAAGACCACGCCATGTGTAAGGGCATGGAGTGATTGATATATGGAGGCAGTAAAGAGAAGATGAACAGATTTGCAGATATTGAACGCACAAGAATAAAGAAATGCGCAACATAGCTGTACCCCTTCACCTCCCAGCATTACTCCCACCTTCCCACCGTTCCCACCGGCCCCTCGGCATCGATTGCGTACACGGCGACGATGCCCGAAATGGCCTATCCTCGACTTGGACCTTACCACCTCCACGACTGAGGCGCAACGCTCAGCATGAGATCGCGCGCACGGTGGCTGCGCCGCTGCCTTGCTAACGCACCGGGCCGCCCTCTGCGTCCGCCGCGCCCGCGGCTGTCGAAAAGGCAGCCCGCCGCAGGCACACCCGCTGCCACCGCAGATCGCCCGCCACCGGGACACGATACGGCTGACTCTGGGACCTGGGTGCCACTTTCGAGGGATCGAGACGTTGACATCTCTTTCTTGGGCGGAAGGCGGCGGAAGGCCAGCGGAAGCCGGCGGAAGTAAAACGGTGGCGGGTCCGCCGGCACAACCCTCGCTGCCACCGCAGATCGCCCGCCACCGGGACCCGATACGGCTCACCCTGGGATCTGGGTGCCACTCTCAAAGCCCGGGGCCACATGACCCAGCGAAAGCGCCCAGTGGGCGTCTTCGCTCGCTTGGTCTCGTGGCCGCCGGGCCCCGCACTGGTCGATCCGGCTCGCGAGAGAGAGAGAGAGATGCCGCAGAAAAGGCCGAACAGTTCCTCAGATCTCAGGGACCGTCGGCTTCGTCGTCGGTGGCTCGCCTGGCTCAGGCTTCGGGTCTGGCCTCGTGCTCTCCAGGGGTTGCCTCGAAGGCCTACGGCCTCGTCCTTCTCGTTCCTCCTCTCTCATGGCAGGCCCGTCTCGTGTCGACTCGGTGGCGACCCAAGCGCGGGCGCTCAAGGGGGACCATTGACGAGTGGCCCGGAATCGGCCGATATCGAACGAACTGCACAGTCGGAAAGCCGCGATCGTTCACGCTCGAAGCATCCAGCTGGTGCGAGAAACCAGCGTGCAAGTCGTCACGGCGCGGACCCGCCGTGTCCGCGGGCGCATGGCGGCCGCACGGCCCAGGACGCTGTTGGTCGCCGTGTTTGAGGAGGCGCGCTGATTTCGGCCAGACCTGGAACCCGGCGCCGCCGCCCGCGTTGAACCTTTCCGCGCGCGCATATCTAGCCACGTGGAGCGTTACAGAAAGGGTCTCGCCTTCGAGGGATCGAGACATTGACATTTTTTCCTTGGGCGGAAGGCGGCGGAAGGCCAGCGGAAGCCGGCGGAAGTAAACCGGTGGCGGGCGGGTCCGCCGGCGGAAGCCGGCGGAAGGCTCTGTCGGGCTCGGAAGGGGCATGCTGTTTACGTATCAGGTCCATCCGCGGTGGGCGCTGGGCGACGCTGCGTGTTACACACCAGACTGGCGTGTCCACACAGCTGGCGACCTCATTGTGGAAGGAGTCTGTTTGGTCTGGGAAGCAATTTCGGTGTCCCCACCACCATCTAAGAAGGCTTCACAATTGATTGCTCCCAGAGAGCAGTAGCTTTCGGAAAACCAATTAACTTGCTCCCATCTCCTTCTTTGGAAAAAACGTGCATGTTTATACTCCAGATTTCCTTCAATACAAAAGGGCACGGGGTGTCTGGACCTCAAGACAAAGCCCAGTTCCAGACATCCCCCCCGGGGGAACCCTCCAAAACATCGTCCCCAGGCCCTATGGCGCGCCTCCAAGATAGTCTTGAACCCCCGAAAAGACTCCCCCCCGAAATGAGACCCCCCTCCCTTTATTACGAAATCTGGAGTAGCATGTCGGCTCTTCGTGCCTTCTCAGCGTCCAAGACGGCCGACACCGCAGGCGATCCCTGCCACTGGGGCCTTCGGTGGAGTCCCATTGGGGCCATGAAACGTGCAATGAGAGTGTCGAAACGGAGGCGGGTACCGCAGGCGAGCCTTGCCATTGGGGGGCTTCGGTAGAGCTCGCTGTGGGGCCACGAAGCGAGTGAGGGGTGTGCCGAAATGGAGGCGGGTCGCGCATGCGAGCCCCGCCGGTGGCGCCTCAGTTGTGGCTCCTTGTGGGGCCACGAAACGTGTGAGGGGTCTGCCGAAGGGGAGGCGGGTATCGCATGCGAGCCCTGCCACTGGGGCCCTCGGCGGAGATCCCTGTGGGGCCACGAAGCGTTTGAGGGGTGTGCCGACATCGGCATTCGGAGGGCAGAGGACGGAGGTGGGGGAGGAGGGGGAGGCGGGAGGAGTACGCTGGGCGCCTCCTCTTCAGAACGAGGACCCGACAAAGGATTGTCGGGACAAATCAGCGTGCCCGATGTCTGGGAAGAGATTCTCTGCCCCCAGCTTCTTTCCCTTCCCTTGGAATTCAAAGAGCGCCGCCAAGCCTGCCATAACATCCGGCGGGTGTTTGCCGTGTGGCCCCCTTTGCCATCTTCCTTCTTGCAGCCGGCGGCAGCAGACGGGAAGGAGGGATGGGGGAACGAGGGAGGTTGGAGGTGGGAGGGGAGAGGGGAGATGCAGGAGCTAGGAGCCCAGAGATCCGATGGCTTTCTCTCTGCGCGGGGTCCCCGGGAGCCCCGACTCTTTCCCCAGGGCCAGTGTTTCATCCGGATCTGTTGTTCGACGATCCCCACAGGCGGAAAGCGGCGCAACGTTGCCGTACTGCTTTCCCAACACGCTGGAGGTCTGGTAGCAAGCGGTGGGAGGACTCCACCGCCACTTCTCCCGGACCAGCCTCGGGAGCGACGAGGCTCGACGCGTCCGGACGACCGCCCCTCCCTCCTCGCCCTCGCCCTTCGCCTTCGCCCGCGCGCCCCGCAAGCCCGAGCAGCCCACGCCGCACTGAACCCAGTGGCCGCCCACCCCAGACCCCCGACGTCATGAATTCGCCACGGCGTGGACCCCCAGCGGTCTGGACCCACTGCCCAGGACCGGTTTTGCATCCCGAGTCGTTTTTCAGTCGGCGGCGCGCAGACGGGGGTGTGGGGAAGGGGCAGGGCTTCTCAGGAGCACCCCTGCTTCTTTGGAGGCGCGGGCCTTGTCCATAGATGTGCTTCCCAGAGGCCCTCCCCCCCTTCGTGCGCGCCGCCAAGTCACTGCCCCGAGGCCCAGCAGGGGCTCCCCGAGGCCGAAGATGGCGAACAAAAGAAACCCGCCGTGCTTCCCTCATGACTCGAGGGGCGTCTGGGCCCGCCGCTCGCTCCACAGAGAGCCGATCGCCGAGCCATGGCCCTTGCCCGGGCCGCCTGCGCCGCCGCCGCGTGCCTGCTGGCCTCCGGGGGCCTCGCTGCCTGCTTCGCCGCCGCCCCCGCCGCCCGCGCCGCGGCGTGGCGCGGCGCGCCCCCCGCCGCGGCGGGCGCCGGCGCCGCCCCCGGCGGCGCCGGGGGCTTCGGCGCCTCGCGCGGCGCCGTGGCGGCAGGCCTTCTCGGCCACGCGCAGGGGGGGCGAGCACGGAGAGGGGGGGAGGCTTCTGAGAAGCGCCCCTGCTTCTGAGGAGCCTGGCGCCCTCCCCCTGCCCCCTGGTGCCCTGGTGCGCGCCGCCAACCTTCGGAGGAGGAGGAATCAGGAGGGGAGCCGTTGCATTTTTCTGCAACGCTGGATCTCAGGGAAGCGGGGAGGCGCCGTGGCGGCAGGCCCTTGATTCCCAGGAGCATGCGGGAGCAGATGGGACGTGGAGGGGAAGACGAACATCAAAAAAACATTGGAACATGTGGGGGTTCCTGTGTACATTTATCTGTGTGTCTCTGGGTTCCTTCAGGGAAGAGGGCTGCCGATGCTGCTGCTCGTCCCGGAGGGCCTGGCCTCTCCTCGCCGCCACGGCCAGATGCCCTCGCCCTCGTCGTCGCCATTCTGGGCCTCCTTGCCCTGCCCTCGTCTCCTTGCCTTTCGACTCCCCTCGCCGCCCTTGCCTCGTGCTCGCCGTTTTCGGCCTCCCGGGGGGCCCTGGCCGCCACGGCCTCGGGAGGTCGGACGGGGCTAGGACGAGGATATATCCATTCAGGAGCGTTCTGGAGCGCTCTCAGAGCGTTCCAGATCGCTCCGAGAAGGCCGCGACGCCCGAGACGTCCTCCAGAGCCTCTGGATCTCAAAGGTTCTCGAGTTTTCCTCACCCAGTTTTATCTTCGTCATGGCTTCGTCTCAGGAGGGGTCCGCGGAGCAGCGGTATCTGTGCCTCTGCGGCGCCCTAGGCCTGGCGGTGGGCGCGCACCTGGGGCTGGCGCTGGCGCTCTTCTCGCGGACGCCGGGCGGGATGGCGCGCGAGAGTGTCTCAGATCGGCCGCACGTAAATCAGGAATGAAAAACAGACTCAACGAACCGTCGATTCCCCCAGCATGTTCGAAACTACTGGAAGCGAAGGGGAAAACGGAACATCCAGAAAACATTGAAAACATTGAGAATCTTGTGATTCGTGTTTACTTCTTTATGTGTCCCTGGGCCCCTTCAGTAAGAGTGCCCCTTTGCCAGAGTGACCTCTGTTGCAGACCCACAGGGGTCCCCCGATCGCCGAGTTCGAAAAGCAAAAAGCGGCATAAACATGAATGTTGGGAGCTCCTCACGGATTTCTTGGACTGGCGCTGGGCCCCCCCTGGCGGCGTCACAAGCGCGCTCCGCGCGCCAGGGAGGGTGGCCTTGCGCCGATGCAAGACATGCGCGCGGACCTCCGAAAGCTTTCGTTTATGTGATTGTTTGTTCCCCGAAGGGTTCCCCGAACGCCGAATGCGATGCGACATCGGTGTCCAGCGCGCTCGGGTTTGGCAACCCCGCGCTTCCCGAGGCCGCGCACCAGAGTCCACTCTTGCCCCGGCTGCCCAGGGTCACTCTTTGCGTGTACGGTCGATTCGCGTCGTGTCGACCAGCGTTTTCACCCGGCCGCCGCGAGCGTGTTCCACCGCTGCTGGCGGAAACCGGGGGGGGTCACTGGGGGTTCCTAACCCGTCCTCCTGGGCCCCCCCCGCCGTTCCCCTCGGAAACCCGGGGGGGTCACTACCGGTTCGAACCCCTCCCCCCCCAGTCCATAATGAAAAGGGGGGGGGTCACTACTGGTTCGAGCCCCCCTGCCCCCCCCCCCCCTCGAAAAACTGAGAGGGGTCACTACTGGTTCGAACCCCTGCCCCCCCCCCCCTTCGAAAACCGTGGGGGGTCACTACCGGTTCGAATCCCCCCCCCCCTCGCCGCTGGCAACCGATTCCCGCTCCTCGAGACAGTTGGACAATGGTGGGGATGCTGGGACAGTGGTGGGAACGGTGGTGGTGGGGACAGTGGTGCGGAGACAGTGGGACAGTGGTGCGGGCAGTGGTGGGGACGGTCGACGGTGGTGGTGGGGACAGTAGTGAGGGGGACAGCGGGACAGTGGTGGGGACAGTGGGGACAGTGGTGGGGACGGTAGTGGTGGGGACAGTGGTGAAGGCGTTGGTGAGGACAGTGGTGGGACAGTAATACAGTGGGGCAGGTGGTGGGGACAGTGGGGACAGTGGGACAGTGATGGGAACAGTGGGGACGGTGGGACAGCACAGTGGGACAACGGCGGGGACAGTGGGACAGTGGTGGGAACGGTGGGGACAGTGGGACAGTGGTGGGGACCGTGGGGAAAGAGGGGAGAGTGGGACCGTGGTGGGAACAGTGGTGGGGACAGTGGGGACAGTGAGACACTGGTGGGGGCACTGGTTGGGACAGTGGGGACGGTGGTGGGAACAGTGGGGACAGTGGTGATGAGGACAGTGGTGCTGGGGACCGCAGTGGGGGATGTGGTGCGGACGGTGGTAGGGACCCAGAGTTGTTTGCTGGCGGTGAGCGGGGGGGGGGGGAGGGGTTCGAACCGGTAGTGACCCCCCTCGGTTTTCGAGGGGGGGGGCTTCCAACCCCCCCCCGTTTTCCGGAGGGAGGGGGTTTTCGAACAGGTTTTTCGAGGGGGGGCATGGGTTCGAACCGGGTAGTTTAGGTGACCCTCCGCTCATCTGAGGGGGGGTGGGTGGTTTCGAGACCCGTAGTGACCCACCCCGGTGTTTTAGATGGGTGGGGGGGGGGGTCGAACAAGTATATGGACCCAACCCTTGTTGTTTCTGGAGTTGGGGCGTTGGGAGGGGTTCGAGACACGGAGTTTTTTTTTTTTTTTTTTTTTTTTTTTTTTTGTTTTAGTGACCCCTGAATCGGGTTTTATGGGTGTGGGGGATCGTGTTCGAGCGGTTTAGTTGACCAGGGGGGTGTTCACGAATTCTTTGTATTTGTAGTGACCCCCCCAAGTTTTTTCCGGAGGGGGGGAGGGGGGGAGTTAGGGGAGGGGGGAGGGTTTGCCGGGGGGAGGGGGGGAGGGGGTTCTAGCAGGGGGGCGGGGGATTTTCGGAGGGGGGGTGGGACCCCCGGGTTTTGGAGGAAGAGGGGGGGGAATTTTCCACAGTAAAGCGGCGGTGGATCACGCTCTCTCTCTCTCTCTCTCTCTTTTTTTTTGTTGTTTTTTTCTCTCTCTCTCTCTCTCTCATCTCATCTCATCTCATCTCATCTCATCTCATCACCATCATGCGTACCCGCGCCCGATTCGGCACACCCCTCACACGCTTCGTGGCCCCGAAAGGGAACTCCACCGAAGGCCCCAGCGGCAGGGCTCGCACGGCGCACCTGCGCACTCTTCAGCGGCAGGGCTCTCATGGCGCACCCGCACCCGATTCGGCCCAACCTCACACGTCTCGTGGCCCTATAGGAGTCCACCGACGGCTCCAGCGGCAGGGTCCGCATGGTGTGCCCCCGGTGCCCCCACCGCTATTTTGGCACACCCTTCGAACGTTTTGTGTTATCACATGGAGCTCCACCGAAGGCCCCAGCGGCAGGGTCCGTGGTGCCCTAGCGAGCTCTACCGAAGGCCCCAGCGGCAGGGCTCGCATTGCGTACCCGCATCCAATGCGGCACAACAACCCTTCAGACGTCTCGTGGCCCCGAGTAGAGCACCGCCAAAGGCCCTAGCAGCAGGGTCCGCATGGCGTACCGGGTTTCGATTCGGCACACCCCTCATTCGGGCCGTGGCCCCATGTGGACCTCCATCCAAGGCCTTCGTGGCAAGGTCCGCATGGCGCACCCGCCCCATTTCGCCACACCCCTCACTCCTCACCCCCTGCTTCTGCTCACTTGCCTCGCGGCCCCCGCAACTTCACATGGTCGGTCTTTTCACCAGAATTGTTTATTGGCCCTTCACCCCCCTAGAGGAGGCGCCAGCCCACGGCCCCAACAGAGGGCGCCATTCGAGCCCATGGAAAAGGTCAACGTCGTCGTCGTCGTCGTCGTCGTCGTCGTCGTCGTCGTCGTCGTCGTCGTCGTCGTCCAGGAGGCCCCACTCTGCCCTCGGGGGGCAGCCCCCCGCCCGAGGACGGCCTCGCGCGCGGAGGGCAAGTACGTGGAGAGCGCGGTGGACGCCAAGCTCTTTGAGCAGGCGCATCCGAGAGGGAGAGCTACGGTCGGGCATTTTGGCGTCGCGTGTCGCTCCGCCAGTTCTGGCCCACCCCCGCTTCGGCGCGACACGCTGTCCACGTCTGGGTCCCCCAGTGTCCACGTGCTGAGCCTTTCCCAGGCCCCCGCCCCGCGGAGCGGAGCGACACGCCATCCGCTCACAAGGCATAGCGTGTCGCCGGGGCCGCCGCCGCGACACGCTAAGCAAAAGTTCCCAGCCCCCCCCAGTGTGCCAGGATTCCTCAGGACTGCAGTGGGTAACTTACTGGGCAGGCCGTGACACGTGTTGAAATTCGCTGGCGATCAAGGGTGCTTAAAGTAGGCGTACGCTAGGATACAACGCATTGCAATGCCAACATCTGATCAATCTGTTAGTCAGCGTGAACCCCGAACAGTGTGTTTCTAGCAACATGCGTTGTTCATAATACATATATGCATATATTCGATATACATGTACATATGATGGAGCTACGCATGAACATGCAATTGAAACGCAGCTCGAACTTCAAATCGACATGCAAACGCAGCTACAATCGAAATTGCGCTCGAACTGGACATCGGCACTTTGATCAACACATCGCCACGCAATCGACATCTGCTCGACATGCAAAGCTAAGTACACATCACACTGCACATCGGCATGTGCACCGACGTGCAATTCAGCATGCACATCGACATGTAGACATGCATGATCGTATGGCCGCACCCTACATGCATTTCACAATGGATATTCGAATGCCAACCGACCTTCATATCCACTTGCGATCCACTGACAATCTTAATGCAACTCTAGATCGAGCTTGCAATGCACGTCGACGTGTACGTCGACAAGCAAATCGTAGAACTGCTGCTGGGAGAAACACTCACCCGGACAATGTAGACATATGGTGATATCGGGGATGGAGAGGTTGATATCTAATGTCCGTAGGTCGGTAGAGAGGTTGCCATACCATTATGTATAGATCTATGTGTACATCTATGTATGCATCTTGTAGATTGGTCGTGAGGTCGATTGATGATAGGTCTTGGGATAGCGCGGTCATGCAGTGAGACCTGTAGAAAGCAAGGTCAAGCTGCGGCCATCCCCCCGACCTCCTTACCTCCCGCAGGGCGTTCCACGAGGCACCCACGGCCCTTAACACACAGAACTCGAAGGGGCGCGTGGACGGTGCACCTCGTGCTTCGCGGTGCGGCCGCGGATCATGTCGGCGGGCCGAAATCCACCCCACCTTTTGGCCCTTTCTCAGGCACGCCCTGGGGGCGCCTCGCCGCCCGCAGCGCCAGTGCGCCCGCGCCCGTGTGCCAGTGCGCCCAGGCCAGCAAGACAGAGAGACAGGACGACCGCAAGACAAGAGCTACTCCCAGAACGCAGGAGCACGGCGGAGAGCGCGAGAGCGCGCACCCCGAAGGGGTCGTCGACGCCCTCGCCGGCATGCGTGGAGGGTGCACGCCAGTCCTCGAAGCGGGTATGTGTGGAATCCCAGATCCCAGTCTTATTTTAAGCGCCTTCCCACTTCAAGAACGGATCTGCTATGGGTGTTTTTTATTACTCTCTGGGAGGGCCTGAGCCCAATCTCCTTTATCCGCCTTCTTACTTCATGGTTTTTGTTTGTTATATCTCATGGAAAGAATTGGTCTAACCAGGGTTGGCCAGAGGGGGTTGGCCGGGAGTGTTGGCCGGATCTCTGGGGGTTGGCTGGGAAGGTTGGCCGGGTCCGTCGTCGCACGAGTTGATTTGCGACGTTGGTCCTGGCAGATGAGATTTTCGCTTGACATCCTCAAAACGAGATGTTGCAATGAAAGACAATGTTCCAGCCTGAGACATTGCGAGGAGTTTTGATGCGAAATCGAGGGACCAAGGAAGAACACGTAGCACAGAAACGAGTATCATCGTATTCCACGCAGTGATATGGCTTACATATCAGCATGTCGTTCGATTTCGATTACCTGCCAGGTTCGTGGGCTCTCAGGTGGTGGGTTCCTCCGTGCGCCTCTGCGGGGAAGCGGTGAAGGCTGCGGGTTCTCTCGCACGTGTGATGGTCAGCGCTCCTCCGGGCCCCGCCGGGCGACCTGCGTCGTGGCTGGGCCGGGCCGCCCCAAGGCCTCGTCGTCGACATGGGCGACGGGGAGGAAGAGGAGGAGGAGGAGGAGGAGGAGGAGGAGGAGGAGGAGGAGGAGGAGAGGGACGAGGAGGACGAGGAGGAGGAGGAGGAGAGTATAGGAGGATGAGAGGAGGGATGGAGAAGATGAGGGGATAGGATGAGGATGAGGATGAGGATGAGGATGGGGATGATGAGGAGGAGGAGGAGGCGGAGGAGGAGGAGGCGGCGGAGGAGGAGGGAGGAGCGCACGGGTTCCACGCACTTGCATCATACTTTGTGGCAGCCACCCTGGCCTCAAGCACGCCAGCTTGCATTAGCTTGCGCTCTGGCCTCAACCTCGACCGCTCTTCGGACCCCACCCACGAAGGCAAAACAAACACGAGGACGGCCACACCATCCACTATTTGCGCGACAAGCACGACAAGGTAGTGGATGTCAAGACGTGGTGGAAGGCGCACAAGATCCACGCAATCATAAAGAGTTGCGTGCCGCCTGGGTGTGTCCTTCGGCGCCCGAGCGACCAGCGGATGTATAACTTTATCTGCAGGTGGCACTGCGACCAAACACTCGCCGAGCTCGGCCAGAAGAGAGATTTCCGAACTCCGCACGCGGACACAAACGTCCAGACGGCTTTGGATGCCGTGGCCTTGACGGCGCGGTGGATGAATATCCATTCAAAATGGACGGTGGCAGCATGGCTGATGTCAGGGGTCGCCACGCAGGCGCACTGCGACAAAGCGGGCCTCGGCGACCTCGCGGCGCGCGCCAAGTGCGCCATGGGCGCGCCCGAGTGCCAGGAGGCGATTCGGGAGTGCGCGCGCGGCGTCGGTCTGTGGAAGACGGAGGCCGCTCTCGTCAGCGAACAGGCGCGCGACGCCTTGGGCCGCTCCGTGGCTGTAGGAGGTCGCGTCCGCCGCGCGGGCGCGGTGGATTGACGGCGACAACAAGCGCAAGGCGGCAGCGTCGGCGATGGAGCCCGCGGTGGCGGACGACGAGCGGGCTGCCGTGAACAAGGCGATCGCGGACGCTGCCGCGAATGTCAAGGCCGAGCGAGTGGATAAAGAGCGGAAGGCGGCTGAGAAGCAGCTCGAGGTGGTCCCGGTCGTGGAACGCTTTCAAGCAAAGCGCGGCAGCAAGCAGAAGGCGCCCCCCAAGGCCGTCCGAGACAAGTTGGCCAAGGCCTGCAAGAGCGCCCAGACGATGGCGCCGGGGTGGCGGAAAGACGCGTGCAGCTTGCACGCTGCAAGATTCTGGGAGCAGCTGCAGAGGAACGCCGACCGGAGGGCCACGGTGGCCGCGCAGGTCCAGGTGGCCGCGCAGGTCCAGAATTTCCGCGCGGTGGCCGCGGTGGCCGCGCAGGTCGCTGGCCCAGCGCGCGGAGGCCCTCGATCACCTCTTCGGCCCTCCCGGGCCGACGGCGGCGACGAGCAATTCGCGTTCTGTGAAGTAAGCTTCATCCTCCTTGAAAGGCGCCCGCGCGCCAACTGAGAAACATCATGGGGGGGGTGGCTGGGGGCTGGGGGCTTGGCCTGGGGCGCGGCTGGGCTCTGCCACCCCCCCCAACCCCTTCCGCCGGCGGGGTCTGATGAGAGAGAAAAATGCCCCCTTCTCCCTCTCGCTTCGGGCCCGCCCTTCCCCGAGGGTAAGAGGGAAGAGGATAGAGGGGCGGCCGCGCCCCGCCGCTGCCATATTGAGGATGCTGGGGCTGCCGGTTTTGGCTCGCAGCCTTGATTCCACAGGCCCCAGGCAGTCCAGGGCGGGATCGACAGTAGTCCGCGGCGTCGCGGGGGCGCTATGCGGAGAGAGGGAGAGGCGGAAGGGGAGAGGAGAGGACGGGGGGAGGGGGTGGGGGGTGGCGACAGGAGGATGGGGGAAGGCGGAGGACGAGGGGAAATGGGGGAGGAGGAGGAGGAGGAGGAGGAGGAGGAGGAGGAGGAGGAGGAGGAGGAGGAGGGGGAGGAGGAGGAGGAGGAGGAGGAGGAGGAAGTGAGGAGATGCGGAGGAGTGAGGATGCTGGAGGAGTGAGGACTTGGAGGAGGAGGGGGGGGGGAGCGGGGGGAGGAACATCCAACGCCCCGCGGGGTGAGATCACACAGGCCCTCGGCAGCAATCGCACGGCGGTCCGTGGGCCCATTTCGCATGGGACATCCTCGCAACTCTGGGTCCCAGTAAGTGTTCCGGCCCATTTTGCGTGAGACATCCTCGGGACTCAGGGTTTCGCGTTGCCCGCGTCGCCTGGGGCATCCGCGCAACTGGCGTGGGCATCCAAGGGGGGGGGCGGAGGAAAAGGAGGGGAAGGAGCATACATGAAAACGGATGCGTTTGAGGTCTTCGGGGGGGGTCTGCGCATCATGCAATTTTCATCTGAC